TCCTTCCCCTATGTTCATTTGTTTTGTCTCAAATTCCACCTATAAGTGAAATCACATGGTATTTGTCTTTCTCTGACTGATATATTTTGCTAAGCATACACCCTCTACTTCCATCCATGTTATTGCAAACAGCAAAATTTCATTCTTTTTGATGGCTGAGTAATATTCTATTGTATATGTACATATACCACACCTTTGCCCATTCATCTGTCAATGGACATCTCAGCTCTTTCCAAATTTGGCTATTGTGGACATTGCTGCCATAAACATTGGTGTGCATGTGATCCTTCAAATCACTACTTTTGTATCCTTTGAATCAATACCCAGTAGTGCTACTGCTGTGTCATAGGGTAGCTCTACTTTTCAAGGAACCTCCATACTGTTTTCCAGAGTGGCTGGACCTATTTGCATTCTCACCAAAAGTGGAAGAGGCTTTCCCTTTCTCCACATCCTCGTCAACATCTGTTGTTTCCTGTGTTGTTAATTTTAACCATTCTGACAGGTGTGAGGTGGTATTTCGTTGTGGTTTTGATTTGTATTTCTCTGATGCCAAGTGAAGTGGAAGATTTTTTCACATATCTGTTGGCCATTTGTACGTCTTCTTTAGAGAAATGTCTGCTCATGCTTTCTTCCCATTTCTTAATTGGATTTTTTGGTTTTGGGGTATTGAATTTAATAAGTTCTTTATAGATTTTGAACACTAGCCCTTTATCTGACATGTCATTTGCAAATATCTTCTCCCATTCCATAGGTGTGAAGGCAGTAATTCTTAAACTTTTGGCCTCAGAATCCCTTTACATTTAAAATATATTGAGAATCCTAAAGAATTTTTGTATGGACAATATCTATTAATATGTACCAATTTGGAAGTACTGAAAATTTTTAATTATTTTTAAATTTGGCAACATAACAAATTACATGCTATAGGTTAATGTGAACAACATATTTTATGAAAGATAGCTATTTTTTAAACCAAAAAAAAAGCACAAGTGGCATTGTTTTACATTTTTTACAAATTTTTTCTATATCTGGCAAAGAGAAGATAGCTAAATCCTCATATTTACTTCTCTATCAAATCTGCTTGCTATGACATCTTATGTCATGTTGCCTTTAGAAAACCCACTGTACACTCATGGAGAATGGTAGTGAAAAAAAGCAAAGAATACATGGGAGCTCTTCTCACATCTTGTCTCCACTGTCTGTCTACCTAAGCCTACTTGTGTTCAGTGTCCTGTGTGCACACCTTGCAAGCAGTGAATCTGACTTCCAGAGTACCAGCTTAGTGGATGTCAGGAGTCACCAATGCTGCTAAAAGAGCTGCAATTGCTTATCTAATTCACAAAGACTTTATGTTAAAGATCATTGCAGCAAATCTACAGTAAACCGTCACCCCCAGAAAGACAGCCCCAATGTGTGCTACCATTATTGATGGTCCAAAAATTTCCCATTCGGTGATGGATTTCAAATAAAATACAATGAAGAAACAGGAGACAATATGAGACTTCTGGTAATTAAGAAAAAAGAAATTTAATTAGGCAGTTTTGATACTGTAAACCAATTTTTCATGATATTACCTAATCGATTTTGTGGGGTTTTTTTTGTTATTTAAGTATAGTTGACATGCAATGTTAGTTTCAGGTGCACAGAACAGTGATTTGACAATTGTATACATTATGTAACACTTAGCCTGATAAGTACAGCTACCATCTGTCACCATACAGTTATTACAATATTATGGACTATATTCTTTACGCTATCCTGATGACTACCACTTCTAACGCACTCCCCTGGGTTCTAGATGGGGTAGAGTGAAAACTGCAGCTTTCACATTCATGGCATTCACCTTGTTTGTTACATCATAGTACAAATGTGTTTAAATTGAAAGAAAAGGAAAAGGACAAAACCTCGTGGCCTGTGAGTTGGTTTGGTCCTGTGAGGATCTGTTTCCTTATATTTCAAATAATGACATCAGAATATAGTTGTATGTTGAAGTTAACATATTAAATTGCTCTCAAAATTAAAAATCAGGAAAAGCTGCCCCAAAAGGCCTCTGATGATACTTGGAGCACCAGTTACTGGTTTAAGGGATCAAATTTATCCTAAACTAGAGCTGTAGCACATATAAGGCTTGCAGCTGGAAGGTGCCATCTTACGTATCAGAGAGAATGAGGGTAAAGCAAATCTCTCCTCTGTACCCCTGGGCTAGCCTGTTTCTTCCCCAACGAGCCAACGACCTGGATGCTGATGGATGGACAAAGTATAGGGCAACCTCAAAAGGGAACTACGGTGTAAGAAGAAGGGACTTTACTGGGGCTTCCCCTTGTACTTCCCAAAGGAAAGGTCTTCCACGGAGGCTTGGGCAGTGCTGGCAAACACATATAGGACAGGAGGACTCAGTCAGTGGCTTAGGAACGCAGACAAATCTAAAATATGTCCTGAGCAGCCCGGGTGGTTCAGCGGTTTAGCACTGCCTACAGCCCAGGGCATGATCCTGGGGTACGGGGTCTAGTCCCACGTGGGGCTCCCTGCATGGAGCCTGCTTCTCCCTCTGCCTGCGTCTCTGCCTCTCTCTGTGTCTCTCATGAATAAATAAATAAAAGTCTTTAAAAAAATAAATAAAAGCTTGTCCTATGACACACAAGTGAAGAATAAATTAAAAAAGCTATTTAATTAATCAAAAGGCAAGCAAACAAAACCTCGGGACTTCACATGTACCCAATAGATCTCCTTCACCTGGCCCTCTGCCGACATCCACGCTGCCCTGGAAGTTTCTGTCCTGCAGCCCTGCCCCAGGAAAACCTGTCTCCTGCAGGGGGAAGACTCACTCCCTGGGCCCTCTCATGGAGTTCCGGCCGTGAGCGCTGTCCAAGGTTCGGCCGGGTGAACAGGGGCGTTCCCCTCTCTGCTAGATTCTTTTGCTAGGAATTGCCAGTTGTCCTCACCACTCCTAGCTGTTCGTTTTTGACATTAATCCTTGCACTGTCCCCGCTCACTTACCTAGATGAGTAGGGAAGGACACCCTATCTAAGAATCCGGTTTGGCCTTAAGCAAGTAAGAAGTCATCATTTCAAGGCACTGCTCCAAGTCCGTGCTACCAAAGTGTGGCCACCAGAGGAAGACACTCCCGCAGCTTGGAAGGGCAGCAAAATGGGTCCCCGCATCTCCTGTTATTTTTAAAAAGCCTCCAGAAAAAACAGGAGCGTGAAGGAAGGACTGTCACAACTCTGCAAAATAGCGCAAGTGAAATCTCCACTAACAGCAGACCTGCAGCTCAGACAATATTTAAGACGACACGCCAGTTCCTTAAACTGCCTTTGAATTTTTTGGTCCTTGAATATATATCGGTCGTCCTTGGGGTGAGTTTGTGGACTTGCCAACGGTTGTCCCCAGGCAAGCACCGAATTCTAAGAAGAGTCAAGAAAAACTCTTTTCACCTGACAGCAAATAGGTGAGAGAGAGCAAAGGTCACCAGCCTTACCACGGCAAAGCCAGCAGTGGCCGTTTCTGCCACACCTGCCCGTGGCCTTCTGGTCTAAATGACACAGGCCTTGGGGAACATGCGCCATGGATGATCTTCTCTACTGAAGTCCCTGAGGTGGGAGGGTTATGGTCCCTAAGGCAGGTGGGCATCAGTAGTTAGAGGGCTACAGTCACTTCAGGTGAAAGCATGAAAATCGGGAGCAGCAAGATTTCCCTTACTCGGGGATGGGACCCCAGGACAGGGAGATGGAGCACAAAGTGGACAGGGATGCAGCTGTACATGCACACTTTATTTATTCATTTATTTATTCATGAGAGAGAGAGAGAGAGAGAGAGAGGCAGAGACACAGGCAGGGGGAGAAGCAGGCTCCACCGCGGGAGCCCGGGTCACCCCCTGGGCCAACTGGGCCAAAGGCAGGCGCTAAACCGCTGAGCCCCCCAGGGATCCCCCAGGCACACTTTTATTAGACGACTGTTTCCTTGAACTCCCAGGATCCTTCTGCTTAAAAAACCCCATTGGAATGATTTCCTCCTACACTGTACTCGCCCCTGGTCCTCCCTCCCATCTGCAGGGGGTGTTTCACCTGCAGGGCCTTGTGCAGCTGGGGGGGGGGGAGCCAGTGTCCTTTCCTGTTGGACACAGTGTTTTCCTCCATCGCATCCCTCTTCCTCTTTATTACACTAACGTATAAACTGCTTGGTTCCATTAAAAAAAAAAAAAATCTTTATCCTCCTATACCGTAACCCTGACCTTTCTCCCGCACTGACTTGTGACCCGAAGGGCATAAACTATCTTCTTCTTATCTATTTGTCATTGCATCGGATATTTAAATGGGGAGGGGTGGTGGTGGTTGGGGGGGAGGAAGGGGGGAGGATATTCCCCTCCAGGAGAAAGAAATCATTGCCTGGGCTCGGTCCAGAGTTACGTAAACCGCAAGGTCTGTTTGCTCGAGCCCTTTTACGAGGCAGGTGACGCTCCCCCCCGCGACCAACGTTGCGGGGATCTTTGAGGTCGATGATGCTTCCACGTTCACCTCCCGCTACCAAGGATCCGTCTATTGAAACAAGGGGGCTGAAGCGAGACGTGGCGGTGGGGGGGGGGGGAGCGGCCTGTGGCTCCTCCTCCGACCCCCCCGCCCGGGATGAACAGGACGCAGCGTTTCCCCCCTGCCCCCGGGAGGCACTATCCTTGCAGCGTCGTGGGCGGCTTTGACAGTCTTTCCTTTAGGATGATCTTTTTCTCCTAGACTCCCCCACCCCACCCCCCCCCACCCCACATCCGTCCAAGGGCTGCTGCTGCTGCTGCTGCTGCTGCTCGCGCGGCCGGCGGCCGGCGCCCGGGCCCGAGGACGCGGCGGATCGCTCGGCGGCTGCAAGCGCAGGGCGGGCTCGGCGCCCCCGGAGCCCCCGGAGCCCCCGGAGCGGCAGCGGGCGGGCCCTGCGGGCGGGGCAGCCGCGGGGGCGGGGGCGGGGGCGGGGGCGGGGGGCGCGCGGGCCGCCGCCAGATGTGCCGGGCCCCCGCCGCGACGCCGGCCCCCCGCAGAGGCGCCCCCGCAGCTGGCGGCCTCCGAGGCGGGAGCGCCCGCCCCGCCGAGCGCGGGCTCCCCGGCGGCCGGCGCGGGGCTCGGGCCGGAGCGCGGCGGCGGGAGGTTTGTCCCCGCGCGCCCGCCGTACCGCGCGGCCCCGGGGCCGGGGAAGCGGCGCGCGGCTGAGATGGGCGAGACCATGTCCAGGAGACTCAAGATCCATCTGGGCGGCGAGGCGGAGATGGAGGAGCGGGCGTTCGGCAACCCGTTCCCGGACTACGAGGCCGCCGCCTCCGCGGGGCCCGCCACCGGAGGGGCCGAGGACGCGGGCTGCGCTCGCCCCCCGCCCGCGACCGACGAGCTCGGCCTCCCTTTTCACGACGACGGAAAGGTGAGTCGGCGGGTGGTGGGGCCTCAGGCCGCGCGGGGCGCGGGGGGGGCTGCCGATGGTCGCGTCCGCCGGCCCCGCCCCCGAGGCGCGTGACGTCAGCAGTCCGCGCCCCGCGCTCGGCGCCCGCGGGCCCTTCCTCCCCGAGGCGGGCTGGGTGGCGTCCGCGGCGTCCCTCCGCCCGCCGCCTGCCGGCCGCTCCTGCCGTCGAGACGCGCGCTGGAGGAGCGCTCGGGGCCCGGGCCCGCGGCGGGGAGAGCGGGGCGGGGGGGGCGCCGGGGGCGCGCGGGCCTGAGGGGCGCGGCCTCCGGAGCTGCGGCCGGGCGCGCCGTCCCCCGGGGACTTCCGGCGTCGCGGCCGCGGACCGGCGCCCCGTCAGCCGTGTGGTGCGGAGCGGCCGTGGGCGCCGACGACGGGGCCGCGGGATGTCGGAGCAGACGCTCCCTGGGTGGGGCCCGAGGCACTCCGGGGCCGTCCGGGCGACGGCCCGGCTCCGGTGAGGGCACGCGATCACCTGCTAGGTTGCAGGGGGCTCGGTTTTGTCTTGTTTTTTTTTTTTTCCCCCACTAACGTCGGTGTTCCAAGTCTTTTTTTTTTTTTTTTTTTTTGGTGTTCCAAATCCTAGTTCTCCCCGCTTCCCTATGTATTTTGTACTTTTACCGGCAGTCACAAGTAGCTTATGAGTAAAGAAAGAGGTTTTCTTAAATCTGGAGAGGAAAAAATAAAATTTAAAAAAAAAGGAATCAGCAATGTTTCAAAGAAAAAAGTCGCAAAGGAAAAAATTTATTTATTTATTTATTTATTTATTTATTTATTTATTTATTTAAGATTTTATTTATTTATTCATGAGACACACAGGCAGAGGGAGAAGCAGGCTCCACGCAGGGAGCCCGACGTGGGACTCGATCCCGGGACCCTGGGGTCACGCTCTGGGCTTAACCGCTGGGCCACTCGGGCGGCCCGGAAAAAAAAAAAAATTATAATCATTCTCTATTCATTTGGTTCCGTGTTGTTAATTCTTGTTTTGTCTGCATACTGTTTTTTTTTTTTTTTTCACCATTAGTTCTGGAAATTCTTACCTAGTTAAGTTTTACGATCTTTTTTTTTTTTTTTTTTTTTTTTTTCATGACAGTCACAGAGAGAGAGAGAGAGAGGCAGAGACACAGGCAGAGGGAGAAGCAGGCTCCATGCACTGGGAGCCCGATGTGGGATTCGATCCCGGGTCTCCAGGATCGCGCCCTGGGCCAAAGGCAGGCGCTAAATCGCTGCGCCACCCAGGGATCCCACGATCTTAAAGTCCTGTACAATCTGTGTTCTGGACGACTCGTCAGGCTTTGTACCCTCAGACCTTCTCCGGAGACGAAGCACGTTTGCAAAAGCATCAGAGTAAATCCATGACTGTAAATGACGAAAGACTGAAAAAGTGACCATGGTTAAAAGATGCGACGAGAACTCATTTGATAAATGTGATTATTTCTGTGCTGTGAGGCAGTTTAGGGTAACTGGGCATACTGGTCCTTATATCCCTACACCTACACCTGTTGGGGAGGAAGACCTTCCCTGGCCCTGTGGTCCTTCGAGCTGGATTTAGAATCAAATTGACATGAGAGAGATTAACAGGAAAGAAATCAAGTTTCACAGGTGTACTTACAGGGAATCCATGCAGACAGGAGATTCCAAAGGCAGGTGAGGCAATGGAAGCTTATATGAGATAAGCAGAGGTTGGGGGAGGGGGGGTCTGAGGACACCAAGGGGAACAAAGGCCATTGCAAGAAAGCTAAAGGAGATATTTGGAAAAACAAAGTTGCCCTATTAGGCAGATAAGTTCCTTAGGTAAAAGGGTGGGAGGTCTCGTCATAGCTCTCTTCCTGTTACTGGGTCTCCTTTCCTTTTTTTTTTTTTTTTTTTTTTTTTCTGTTTTTTAAGATTTTATTTGTTCATGAGAGATACAGGCAGAGGAAGAAGCAGGCTCCATGCTGGGAGCCCAATGTGGGATTCTATCCGGGACTCCAGGATCACACCCCAGGCTGAAGGCAGGCGCTAAACTGATGAGCCACCCAGGGGATCCCCATGGGCTCTCCTTTCCAATGAAAATGTAGGCAATTGTGAGGGAGGCAGAGCTTTTCCTGTATCTGCTGGGTTTTGCTTACTTTTTTTTTTTTTCTTTTTTATTAGAGAGCATGGCAGGGTAGGGGAAGAGGGGGAGAAGCAGCAGCAGCAGACTGCCTGCTGAGCAGGGAGCCCAGGGTGGGGCTGCATCCCAGGGCCCTGGGATCAAAACCTGAGCCACCCAGCCACCCCTGAGTTTTGAGTTTTGGTTACTTTTAACTCAAAATGTTCATCATGCCAAAGTGGCTCATTTTCGGGCTGCCTCCCCTTGGCCCCTACCTACCCTAAAAAGGTTTATCATCATTTATTTGTCAATGCTTCCCATGTAATTTAACATAACAAGTAAAAATATTTACCTTTACCTCTCCTACAAGGTGAGAGACAAATCCTTTGAGATTTTCCAGGGACCCTCAGAGAAATCTAAGTTGTTTTGATGTCAAAGACACCATTTAGAACTTGGTTTTGGAAAGTTATAAAAATGTCAGAATTTTTGAACATTGACTAATAGGATCACAGATCATTATGAAATAATACTTAGTGGTTTACATAACCAAAGAACAGCAGACGATTTTAAAGGCAAATCCAGAAGGTAACCTAGTGGGGAACAAAACTTCACTCTTGTAATATTGAAGACTCAATTCTTGCAAGTAATCAAAGTCCTGCTACAGATAAACATTAAGCACAAAAAATTACTTTGGTATGACACAGAGTCTTTGCTTTCTGGACAGATTACTTAAAACATGAAAACAGACCTTTCACATCCTTTCTGTAGACCCAACAGTCCAAGGAAAGCATGTCCTTTTAACAGGGAGAAAACTAAATTCTAATTTTGCATGTGTATTTTTGATATTTAGACTCCTTCTTTAAAGACTTAAATTCATTCCAGCCCTAGCCCACTTGATTACAGAAAAAAATTCCTTTCCCAAGACTTCTTTTCCACAACCTTCTCATCCATTCAGGTTTTACCTCTTTCTTATTCTGGAACAACCTGTCATTTTACCTTAGGACACACACAAACTGGTTTTAACAAAAAACCTATTTTTCATATCTTTCCTTATAAAAAAAATACATTGTGCTTTTTCTTAGGCTACTTTTAATACAATTGTTTCCTTTTAGCCTTGTTCTATTTGTCTTAATGACATGTATCGATAAGAATGCTTAACCCATAGGGACATTAATTTCTAGTGAAAACTAAGAAGTAGACAATTATGGATTCTGTTCCACAAACATTCTGTGAATTCGCTATTTAACGAATACATTTCACAATTTCTAGAAGTAAATTCTTCCTCATTGTAGATTTTTCAGTGTGGCAAACCTATTTACCAATGGACCCCAAGTATCTTTAGTTCCTTTGTAATAAGAAGCCAAAAGATAAATGTATGTTCAGTAATCAGTGTCTCAAGAGTTTCAGCACTTGGCACATATCATCCTAGTCTCCTAGCCTGTTAAGATTTCTGCTGAGAAATTCACTAATATCCTACTGGGGGTTCCTTTGTAGGTTATATACAATCTTTTCTCTCTTTGTGTTGTGTTAGAAGGTGAGAGAGGGACAGTAAAGTATCTCCCAAGTGGAGAAGAGACTTTGAGACTGGGAAACAAAGCAGGCGACTTCATACAGTTTATAGAGTTTTATTCAGGGGCACTTAGTGACAGGGGTTTGGGAGGAGGACGTCTTTCCTGATTGACCTATTCATTCTTTAGTAAGATGCTCTTTAACCTCCAAGTATTTGAATTTCTTCCAAAATTCCTCCAAATTTCCTCTTCTTACTGAGTTCAGGTTTCAAAGCATTATGGTTTGAAACTATGCATGGAATAATACCAGTCTTCTGATATTGGTTGAGACCTGATTTGTGACCAGTATGTTATCTATTCTGGAGAATGTTCCAGGTGTATTCAAAAACAATGGGTATTCTGTTGCTTTAGGATGGAATATATCTGTGCAGTCTGTCTGGTCCAGTGTGTTATTTAAACTCCTTGTTTCCTTGCTGCTTAAATAACCTGTCTATTGCTGTGAGTGAGGTGTTGAAGTCCCCTACTATTATTGTATTGTTATTGTGTTTCTTTGATTTAGTCGTTAATTGGTTGATGTAACTGACCCATCCCAACATAGGAGCATAAATATTTACAATTGTTAGGTCTTCTTGTTAGATAGACCGTTTAAGTATGATATAGTGTCCCTCTTCATCCCTTACTACAGTCTTTGGTTTAAAAGCTAATTTTCTTTTATAAGGATTGCTACCCTAGCTGTCTTTTAAGGTCCGTTAGCATGATTAATGGTTCTCCACCTCCTCACTTTAAATCTGTAGGTGTCTTTTTGTGTAAAATGAATCTCTCATGGACAGCATTTGGATGGGTCTTGCTTTTTTAATCCAGTTTGATACTCCGTGTCTTTTGATTGTAGCATTTAGCCCATTTACATTCAGAGTAACTATTGAAAGATGTGCATTTAGTGCCATTGTATAGCCTGTAAAGTCCCTGTTTCTGCAGATTGTTTCTGTTTATTTCTGGTCCGTGTTATTTTTGGGCTCTTTCTTCTCTTATAGGATCCCCTTTAATATATCATGCAGAGCTGGTATAATGGTCACAAATTCTTTTAATTTCTGCTTGTCCTGCAAGTTCTTTATCTCTCCTTCTATTCTGAATGATAGCCTTGCTGGATAAAGTATTCTTCATTACATATTTTTCTCATTTAGTGCCCTGAATATATCATGCCAGCCCTTTCAGGCCTGCCAGGTCTCTGTGGATAGGCCTTCTGTCAGCCTAATGTTTCTACCCCTGTAGGTTCAGAACCTCTTGCCATGAGTTGCTTTTAGGATTTTCTCTACATCTGAAATTTGGAAGCTTCCTTATTATATGTTGGGGTATTGATCTGTTTTTATTGATTTTTTTTAGGGGGGGTCTTCTCTACCTCTTGGACTTGAATGCCTGTTTCCTTTCCCAGATTAGAGAAGTTCTCAGCTGTGATTTGCTTAAATATACCTTCTGTCCTTCTCTCTTTTTTTCCTCAAGGACCCCAATAATGCTAATATTGTTTCATCTTATGGTATCGCTGATTTCTTGAAGCCTCTTCCCATGGTCTGTCAGTTACTTTTTCCTCTTTTCTTCAGCTTCCTGCCTTTCCATCAACTTGTCTTTTATGTCACTTCTTTTCTGCTTCATTTACTCTAGCTGTTAAAGCATCCAATTCAGACTGCATCTCAAAGCATTTTTAATTTTGACCTGATTAGGTTTTATTTCTGTACTAAGAGATTCTCTGGTGTCTTTTATGCTTTTTTTCAAGCCCAGCTCGTAACTTTATAATTGCTATCCTGCATTCCATCTCTGACATTTTCTTATATCCATATCAGTTAGATCTGTGGCAGAGAGTATTACCTCTGGTTCTTTCTTTTGTTGTGAATTCCTCCTTCCAGTCATTTTGCCCAGAGAGGAATGGATGAACAACAGGACAAAATAAAAATTATCAACCATGATTCAAGTGAAATACACACTAGACAAATCCAAAGAGGTCAGAAGCCAAAAAGAAAGGAAAAAGAAATAAAGGTGGACAAAACAGGGTGATCCACTTGGTCCTGGGTTTATTTTGGTCCGTGTGTTAGAAGATATTAAATCCCAAAATTGTAAAAAATGCAAACTTACATATATATAAAAATAAAGTTGAATACAGTGAAAGGAAGCCAAACATAAATTTATAAAATGTAAATGTAAAAAAATGAAAGTTAAGACTTAAAAACAAAGAATTGATAAACTAGTTGATAAGGAGAAAAAGGAAAATTTTAATCTGAAAGATAAATAAATGATGAGAAAAATCTTCAAATTCTATATAGTATTTTCCCCAAGCACTGGAGTTTACAGTCTTGTGTGCTCTGTAAACTTGATATTCCCTGTTGTTCCAGCTGGTCTTCTCGGGGAGGGACCTGCTGTGCTGATTCTCAGGTATCTGCCTGGGCAGAGTTGCACCGCCCCTTGCCAGGGGGCCAGGCTCTGTGTGAGTTGCTACTGGTTGCTCTATGTGGCTCTTGTTCCCTGAAGACTTTCTGAGCCTCTTTAGAGGATGAAAATAAAAATGGCCAGGCCTGATCTCCAGCCCCAGAGCTGAGAGGTCACGGTCCCCTTTCTTCAGTAAACCCTCAGGGATAAGCAGTCTTCACTTCTGGTGCATGCCCACACTGATCCCCCCGGGGGAAGGTGAAGGGTGGCAGTGTTTCTGTTCTTTGCAGGGCTCTAGGAGGGAGAGCTGTCGCTCAGTCATGCCTTGGTTCACAGTTTATGGCAAACTGAGCTGAGAGGGCCCCTCTCCCGACCCCTACTTGCTGACCTTAACTGGTTTCCCTGTTTCAATGCTTGGGATTTCTGCCAGCTTAGGCACCCCCGTTCTTTCTGAGACCCCAGGGATCCTGAGACCACACTGTCCTACCTAGGATCCTGCCCCACTTCACCACCTGAGCACCTTTTAGGCTGGGATGTCTCTACTGGAGCAGACTTCTAAAAGTTTCTGATTTCATGTTCCTCAGCTGCATCACTTTCTGGTAGCCAGCTTATGGAGGTTCCCTCCCTCTCCCTGTCAGTTATCTTTTGATATCCCCTCAGATTCACTTCTTCACACTTCCTACCTTGCAAAAAGTGTCACTTTTCTATTTGTAAAATTGCAGCGATTCTTTTCTTACATCTCAGGTTGAATTCATAGGTGTTCAGAATTATTTGATAGTTATCTAGCTAAATTTAAGGTACCAGATGAAGCAAGGTCCCCTACTCTTCCCACCTTCTTGCCTCCCCTCTGTCCTTTCTATATTTTCTTGTAGCTCTAAATTTCCTTAAGCAGCCATTTTGAATTCCTTATTGGATAAATCATACATTTTCATGTGTTTGGGTGTGGTTATTGGAAGATTATTGTGATCTTCTGGCTATGCCATGTTTCCTTGATTTTTCATTAACCTGATGGACTCCAGAACACATTTGCAAGAACTGTAATCTTTTGTGCCCTCTGCTCTAGGAATCTTGTATGCCACTGCCCCAAATTTCCTTTTTTCCCCAGTCATGGAACTCTCTCAATAATGTTCTGGATGCCATGAGAAAAAAAAAAAAAAGAAGAGTCTTTTCAAGCAGAGTCCTGCAGAGATTTGAAAACTGGGCATTCATTCAAGGGCTCTCTCCCTTTTCCCCATGGAGGTAACAGTAGGCCATCTATTTAACCCTATGCTGTTCCACCTTAGGGAAGAGATGATGCTGATAAAGAGAAGGTCTTACCCAATTTAATGTATACAAACTCATTTTTTGCTCTTTAATAGACTGAACTTTTCCTTTGAAAATCTGCACTTCCCCAAAGGTTTTCTGATCTGAAATTGATTGCTCAGCTCATGGGGGTAGGGGGCAGGGGAAACAACTAGTCCACAGTCTCCTGTAGGTTCCACAGCCAGTACCAGAATCTCTGCTTATTTCCAGATAGACTGGTGGGCTAGACCTGCCACAGGTCCCTTGGTGTAAGGTGTTGGGTTCGACAGCTCATGCAAAAGCACTTCTGTTTGTAGATGGATGCCTGATTTTTATTGTTAAAGGGAGGGCAAAAACAAGGGATACCTAATCTTAATGCTGCAGTGATGCTGATGTCACCCTGGTTTAGGTCTTTAATGTTTATCTATTAATTTTTTCCTGGATGTACACAAGAAGTTTCTGGTTCAGAGATTTATTATTTATCAGACAGACCATAACCTGTAAGTGGCTCCATGTGCCTCAGGTCTTCCCTGTGGGACAACACAATGCAGCCAAGTCAAATGTTCTCCATATACAAAGTCTATGTGTTGTAGGCAAATAATGAAGAAAATTGACTTCTCTCTGCTTTTTACAAATGGAAAAGAGGCAGTTGTCTTCTCCTTTCCTTCTGGGAGAGTTTCATTGGAAATATTATACTCTGAGTCTTTGGAATGTAAATAAATCTCTCTATGAAAAAGATAAGCCTGTTTGTCTTCAGTTTTGCAACTCTGAAATGTCTCCCTGTTCTAGAGCTTCATCCCCCTGAAACATAAACACGAACCTCCTGGGTTCAGTAAACCTCTCTGGACTTCTTATAGCATATACAATTGTAACTTAATTTCTAATACTTGCTTTTAGTTTAGTCTAAAATCCCAAATTTCAGTAAAATCTTCCATGACAGCTCTAGCTGTGCAGTAATGCAAAAACATGTCCCCCTATGAGACTACAGAGAAAATTTCATTTTAACAAGTTAGTCCATCAGTAAAATGCTTCAGTCATAAATTTGTGCTAATAACAGAAGTGCAAAATACAGGAAAGCAAAAGATAGACATTAAAGGGATAAATAGAAAATTCTGTGATCATAGTCATGGATTTTAACATATTTTAGCAGTTTCTCTGGCAGCAGATTTTTTTTTTTACATTTTTTTAAATTTAAATTCAGTTTGCCAACATATAACAACACCTAGTGCTCATTGGCAGCAGATTTCTAAAAAATCATCAAATACATAAAAATCTGAACACTATCAACTACTTATTTAAGGATATTGCTAAATTGCTCTTGAGAAAGACTACCAGTGAATAAGAATACTTGTTTCCTTAGCTCTTAGCAGCCTTGGGACTTGATATTTCTAAATTTTTTTATTATTTGTTATTCTAATAAGGCAAACTATGGTACTTTTATTTGCATATCATTAATTGCTAAGTAAACCTTTTTTGCATGTTACTTGATTTTTTCTTTTTTTAAGGTACATCAATAATTTTAGGTCTATTTTGGTATTGTGGTCTTTTTTTTTTTTTTACTTAAAATGTTTAATATTGCAGATATTTCTCCCTTGTCATTAATTTTTAAGTCATCTTTCTCATGTTCTTTAAATTACAGAAGTTAACATGTTTGTGTAGTCAAATCCATCTTCTTTAAAAAATGGTTTTTTACTTTGGGTTCTATAATTTTTTGTAATCCTGCCAATGCCTTATAGTCTATATAGGGCATTATTTTATTTAAAAACTTACCATATAAAAACAAGGTAGACACCTTCTAACCTATGAAAGATTGAGGTGGGCCAGTTAATACAATTTTTCTCTCATATTCTGATAACTTAGATTATTTTTTTAAAGATTTTATTTATTCATGAGAGACACAGAGAGGCAGAGACACAGGCAGAGGGAGAAGCAGGCCCCATGCAGGGAGCCCAACATGGGACTGGATCCTGGATCCCCAAGATCATGCCCTGAGCTGAAGGCAGTGCTAAACCACTGAGCCACCTGGGTTGCCCAACAATTTAGATTATTAAAGTATTCATTACAGTATTGCCATATTGTTATGCAATTTAAATATCTATGTTCTTTTGGTTCTCAGATTATTCAGAATTTCACAAAGCGAATCCAGACCAAAATCAAAGATCTTCTACAGCAAATGGAGGAAGGGCTAAAAACAGCTGATCCCCATGATTGCTCTGCTTATACTGGTTGGACAGGTAAGAATGTGGGATACAAGTAATTGGTATGCTCTATTTTGCGATTATAAGAATTTAAAATTTTTCTTCTTTTAAAATGGTGACATTTTATATTCTTTAAATGAAATCTTGAACTTCTTCAGTGACAAGATGCTTCGGAGTTTTATTTATAAGGAAATCTTTTCTGCTTGAAGTTTGATATTAAGTATATATATTTTTATAGCATTATTTATTTGGCCCAATATATGGGTATCTCTGAAAATGCATAATAAGAGAAACTTGCCCTGGGGTCAGTTTTTTGTTTGCCTTTATTACTTTGATCTTTGCAACAAGTTGTAGGATATGACTTCTCTTTTATGCATAAACTGTTTAACCTATTGCTTGTACTCATTTGACTCATTTGTACGCATAAAGATGTTGAATTTAGTGATAATTGAATAAGCAGCTTGTCGTACCCTATGTCAAAAAACTTAATTTCAGAATTAGATTTCCATAACTAATCTTTACTCTTATTATTTTATCATGTAACCAGAACATTGTAATAACTATTTAGAGAGTATAAAAGAAATAAAAGACCTTCTTCTGAGAGATTAGACTTCAGGATGATTACCGCTATTAACAATTTACATATCAATATATAGCCCTTGTTAAGTTTTTATGGTTTAGTCAATCAACAGCATAGACATAAATTTTCATGTTAGAATCACTGAGAACTGGTACCTGCTTTCACAGTGTACAACCAAACATGACAACCTTGGTCTTTTTTTGTTTCATTTTTATATTTATTTCTGTGATGTTTTATTTGTATTTGCCTATTTTGAATACAACATTTACATAAAGACATTAGAATTAAATTCTCCCAACTATTAAACCCAGAAAGACATGGATCTAGTTCAATTTAAAGAGCCAAAGAAATTTATCTTAAATGTAAATTTAGATAATTTTAGCTAACTTGAAGTTAAAAGCAAAGAGAGACATATTTATGTATTATTTATTATGATTTTATTTATTTGAGAGAGAGAAAGAATGCACAAGCTAGGGGGAAGAAGCAGAGGGAGAGAGAAAGGGACGAGCAGATTCCCCAGTGACCAGGGAGCAGGACATGGGACTGGATCCCAGGACCCAGAGATCATGACTTGAGCCGAAGACTGATGATCAGTCTGACTGAACCACCTAGGCACCCCAGGATGGATATTATTAAAAATAACATAGATATTATTAGCATAGATTTCCCCTAAAAAGTATTTTACTTAAAACATTTCTTGTTGAAATAGGGGATTTAAATCCATGATTATTATTAGGTCCTAAATTAGCTGTGCATCAGAAACACTCAGAGGGCTTTATAATAAACAACATATTATCAGCAGCCATCCCAGAATAACTACATGAGGATCTCTGGCAGAGGAGTCCAAGAATCATTATTTCTTAAAAATCCCCATTTGTTGTCATCTTTTGAAATCAGTGATAGAGCCAGCATGGAGGTGTTTTGTGTGAATGGTTAAAAATAATATTTAGGGCTTTGGAATTCAGGTAGCACTATGGAATTTACTTACACCCACACCTACCTTTCTTCCTAAAACCATGCGATCGATACAAGAAGAATGAATGAAGCACTCACAACTTTTTTTTTTTTTTTGGCAAAATTGTGAGATAGAGAATATACCAAATAATAATAAAAAACAAATAAAATCCAAAACACTGTGGAAAGCCACCAAGTGACCCATAGGTAGCAAAATGTATTCTGCAATTCCCCCTTTTCCAAGTCAATAAATAATTCTCAGAAGGATGACACACACACTCGGGGAATTTTTGAGGGCATATCTGAGCATAAAGTGGACAAGAGAGGCAGAGAAAAAAGATTTGGAGAGCATTCCGGGAAAAGAGGTCATAGAATTTTTTTAAACAGCATCCTTCTACAAAAGGGGATTATTGTATGCGGCAGAACTACATCCCTTATGGCACTGGCTAAGAAGATAATCAGGAAGGAAACGTCAGTGGTAGGAGCCCTCGTGAAACAAGTAAGGATATGAGAACCAAAGGAAATCTGGTCACCACAAGTCACCATACACAAATAAACTGTCACTTAATAAGAAAAGGATGCCCTTGAGATGAAAAAAACTAAGAAACCTAACACTTTCCCTCTTTTAGAGAGTCTTCCTGTTGATAGTTAATTCAGAAAAATTCACCTAATTCAAACTTAAGAAAAAATTCAATTGTATACATAATATTAGAAAAAAACAGAATATCACATTTTGGCAATGGAAGAAAAATCACCAGGAAAATGCCATTACAATGTGGGGAAGAATTGCAGTATTTTCAACATTAATTTTGGAACTTAATTAAGCAGTTGAATCACAAAACAGAAGTAAAGGAGCCCAGAAAGGAGATGGCAAGACAGTAAGATGATGTGAAATGAGAATTGAAAGAACTAAGAAATTGAAGGAAAAGGTAAAATCACTTCAGAAATGAATTCTAAGTGACAAGGGGCTGAAGAAAGAACTGACACTAGAAGAAAGAAAACACAGCAGTTTACTGGAGAAAATCACAGTTTCCTGGAGCAGAGATCCCCAAGAAGGAATGTCCATGGGAACCAGTGTGGGGATAAGAGATTTAAAGGTTAATTGATGAATTGCTCGAGGCTGAGTGTGAACAAGCAGGAGAATAAAATGCCTCTAGGTATACCCAGTTAAGGACGCTTCTTCACTTTTGCAAGTTTAATGCCAGAAGTTCTCTCAGGTTCTCACTGTTGGTATTGGGGAGAATCCCTTTGTGCTTCTGGAGGGGGCTGGAAAGGCACCCTTTGGAATGTGCCAGAGCATTCTGTTTTTCTTCACCAGACCCACCCTCAGGAAAAACTGTTTTACCAGAGCCTAACCTAGTGGAATTTTATTGAAGCCAGACATCCCTGTGGGGAGGGAAATACCTGACTCCACCCTGCTCTGGCTGGGTCTGGGGAAAACCCAACTCCAGCCCCTTGTAACTACTATCCTGTCCAACCTACAGGGAGGAAAACACTGAGAAGCACTAGTAAAAGTCATCGTCCAGGGGCACAGCTTCACAAAAAGACTGAGATGAGACCTAATCATAGGACCATAGGATGCTGCTACTTCCCTATTCCTCACCTCCACGTTACTAAAGGACTGGTTACTGAAGTTTCTTTTACCTAGTACATTATGTCCACCTTGCAATAAAAATTTACAAGGAATACGAAAAGGCAAAAAAAAAGAGAGAGAAAGAAAGAAGAAAGAAGAAAGAAATAGAATTAAAACAGTTTGAAGTGACTAAGTAAACATCAGACCCAGAATCAGCTGTGGCAGGAATGTTGCAATTATCAAACCAGGAACTTTCAAATACTATTATTAATATGCTAAGGGTTTTAGTGAAAAAAGTAAACATGTAAGAATACATTAATAATGTAGCTAGAAAGATGGAAATGTTTTTTCTTATTAAGTCTCTATTTAATAAATTCCAGTGAGTATATTATTTTCAAGTATACAGTATAGTGATTCAACATTTCCATAAACACCCAGTGCTCATCACAAGCAGTTCACTCCGTAATCCCCATCACCTGTTTAACCAACACCCCCGCCGACTTTCCTACTGGTAACCATCAGTTTGTTCTTCATAATTAAGAGTATTTCTTTGTTTGCCCTCCTCTCTTTTTTTCCACTTTGCTTGTTTTTTTTTTTCCATAAATTGCACATGAGTGAAATCATGTAGTATTTGTCTTTCTCTGACTTATTTGGGTTAGCATATCTTTAGCTCCATCCATGTCAATGCAAGTGGTAAGATTTCATTCTTTCTTATAATATTCCATTATACATATGTACTCCACACCTTCTTTATCTGTTCCTCAGTGGATGGACACTTCGGCTGTCTTCATGTTTTGGCTGTTGTAGATAATACTGCTATCTATCAATATTGGGGTGCGCATATCCCTTTGTATTAGTGTTCCTGTATCCTTTGGGTGAATACCTAGTAGTGCAGTTGTGGATCATAGGATAATTCTAGGTTTGAGGAACCTCCATACTGTTTTCCAAAGTGGTTGCACCACTTTGCATTCCCACCAACAGTGCAAGAGGGTTCCCCTTTCTCCGCATCCTTGCCAGTATCTGTTGTTCTTGTGTTGTTAATTTTATCCATTCTGATAGGTGTGAGGTGATATCTTGTAGTTTTGTTTTGCATTTGCCTGATGATGAGTGACATAGAGCATCTTTTCCTGTGTCTGTCGGCCGTCTGCATGTCTTCTTTGGAGAAATGCCTGTTCGTGTCTTCTGCCCATGTTTTAATTAGATTATTTGTTTTTTTGGGTGTTAAGTTTTATAAGTTCTTTATATATTTTGAATACTAACCCTTTATCAGGTATTTCATTTGCAAGTATCTTTTCCCATTCCATAGGTTGCCTTTTAGTTTTGTTGGTTGTTTCTTTTGCTGTGCAGAAGCTTTTTATTTTGATACAGTCCCGATAGTTAATTTTTGCTTTTGTCCTTGCTTCAGGAAACATATCTAGAAAGAAGGTGCTATGGCTAATGTCACACAAGTTTACTGCCTATGTTCTCTTCCAGGATTCTTATGGTTTCAGCTCTCACATATAGGTCTTTCATTCATTTTGCATTTATTCTTTTGCATCTTTTGCATTTATCCTATTGTTTATTATGGTTTCATTCTTTTGCATGTTGCTGTCTAGTTCTCCAAGCATCATTTGTTGAATAAATGGTCTTTTTCCCATTGGATATTCTTTCCTGCTTTGTCGAAGATTAATTGACCACTGTGAGTTTATTTCTTGGTTTTACATTCTGATCCATTGATCTGTGTATCTGTTTTTGTGCCAGTACTACATGCTTTGATGACTACAGCTTTGTAATATAAGTAGAAGTCCAGAATTGTGAGGCCTCCAGCTTTGTTTTTCCTTTTTAAAGTTACTTTGGCTATTTGGTGTCTTTCCTGATTCCATTCAAATTGACAGATTGTTTTTCTAGCTCTGAAAAAAAAACTGTTGATGTTTTGATAGGAATTGCATT